ATCAATGTTGCATGCACTTGCTGAATGTAAAATCAGGTTTTAAGCCTTTTTTTATTAGTGTTAAATAATGAAAAGGTCACCACACTAAGGATTTCTCTTGTACTACAGTTATACAGTGTATGGTACACTGCATGGTAACATTCATTGCATTTAAAGAGAGGTAAGATTCACTCTTGAGTAGGCCTGAGACCCCCACCACCACTACAACCCCTACTTTTATTTTGTACCATACATGCTTGCTACCAATGGACTCCCCTTATGGTTTGTTTTTAGGAAAAATCAAGAATTGCATTTAAGTTGAGTTAACAATATTTTTTGCTGATCATTTTGAATGCAGTTTTTACTGCAAGTAACTACTACTCATGCATTTTTTTCATCATATGCTTTGTTTAAATTAACCAGGTTTGTGAATTTTTGAATACACCTTAACCACTTTCCTGCCCCCCTATAGCATTTTTTTTGACATAGACATGTAGCAGAATACATTTTGTCCTAAATTTATGAAGAAATTAGATTTTCTACATTTTTTTTATTGGATATATTTTATAGCAAAAAAGTAAAAAAATATGTATATATTTTTTTCAAAATTGTTTTTTTTTTTAAAGGCACAAAAAAATAAAAAACACAGAGGTGATCAAATTCCACCGAAAGAAAGCTCTATTTGCGGGAAAAAGGACATAAATTATGTATGTACTGTGCTGCATAACCGCGCAATGTTAAAGTAATGCAAAAAAATGGCCTGGTCAGGAAGGGGGGTAAATCCTCTGGAGGGCAAGTGGTTAAATGAGAAGTATGGCCAAAGCTTTTATAGCTATACTTCTCCTGTGGATCACCTATGGATCTCCTACAGATCAGAACAAACTTCACTCCCATGACCTGTTTTCAACCAAAAGCAGGCTAAAGCCTCCTCTGTCGTCACTCAGGTGACCCAGGTCAGGGAAAGATCCTGACTTTACGGTCAGGATCCAACCAGATACCTAGACCCGCAGCTGGCTCAGCCTCTCAGCTGTGCCACTTGGAGACTGAGTCAGCCACTCCTGCTGACAGTCATCTCTCTCTGCTCAGACAGGAGGGGAGAACTGAGTGATAAGTGGTCTTTGATCAGTCAGTTCTCAGTCTTAGAGGCGTCAAGGGACAGATGCAACATTGGACTGATACTGCATCCACCTAGGTGAATATACCATTTTTTTTTGGAAACACTGAACTTTTCTTTTAATGTGAAACCTGAAGCATAATATTCTGTAAATCCCTAAACCCTAACACTAACCATAACCTTTAACCCATAACCCAAACCCTAATCTACCCTCTAAGCTAAGTCCTAACAGTAAGAGATTAATGAAAAACATAATGGAGGCAGCTCTCAGCCCACACTGGATACGGTGAACGTGCAGAAGGAAAAAAGGCAGGCCAACATTGGGGGAAAAGATACAAACAGCCAAACACCTCTAGGTACAAGATGAGAGCTTGCAAAGAATAATAATGTGTAAGGACCAGTTCACACCAGGGGCGGACTGACCATTTGGAAACTCGGGCACTGCCCGAGGGCCCGGGGTCAGTAGGGGGCCCCATGATATGCCCCTGGTACCTTTTTCATAGGCTTTTTTGAGTTTGGGCAAGAACACAGGGGCCCCATGACCCCCTATTGCCCGGGGGCCCCATGAGTTGTCAGTCCGCCCCTGGTTCACACATATGTGAATTGGATGCCTTGCAGACCGCTTCCAATCTGCAAGACATGTGAAAGAACATTGCTTTTTATGGTGGCCGTTCACATATGTCCAGTGCAGCCAGAGTGTGGATTAATGTGAATTTAAAAAGAGTCCTGTCAGTTCTCTGAGCACTGCGGTCCGGTTCAGGTGCGAATTCAGGCTGATTGACTTCTATGGGAATGCTTCTGAATCGCAAACGTTATCAGTTGTGAACAGGCTTTCAGTTTCAGCTCAATCTCAGTTTCGTTCTCCCCCTCCTGTTCCCCTCATCAGAGCACATAGCAAAGAATTCTGTCCGCCTTGCATCAGAAACGCAGCCAAACTGTTCCTGAACCACTGAACAACAGAATATACAGCTGTGATAACAATCCTGTCCTGAACCGGTTCTGAACTGCTCCTGAACCGCTGAACAACCACTTTGCAATGCGCACTCAAACCCGACCTTCCAATCCGCACCGCGCCTTTGTAAACCCAGCCTAAATGAAAGAAGCAACAAAGGAAGGAAAACATTTTATTCAACAGAGCTTGCAATCAGGAGTATACACTACAGGCACCTAGTGGCAAAATGAGAAAATATATATAGCTATGAACATACAAATAACATGCAAAGCCATAATGACAAGTGATATGATAGAGAAATATTGTAGAAAGGGTAGCTAGGTGACCATGAGGTGAAAACTCAAATTAAGGAGAACAGAGACATAAATACGTCTAAACATGCAGCACAAAAAGGCAAAAAAAGAACACCATCTACCTAAGTTACATCAATAGAAAGATAGAAAGTAGTAGGGAAAGTCACAGGTCAGGAGTACAGTATGTATCCAAACAAGAGGTGCTTATTCTGTTCAATGTTTTGACAGATCATATATTACTATCTATCTATCTATCTATCTATCTATCTATCTATCTATCTATCTATCTATCTATCCCTATGTATCTATCTATGTATGTTAGTGTTTGTGGAATATGGAAAAATCTGTATAAATGTATAGATGTTTTGCTGTACTAAAATTACATGTGTCTGCTTAACATAAATAATGGTCATACATATACCTATTAAAAGGATATATATTCAGCTGTTTATAAATGCTGACAGCAGATAATGACTAACTTGTTGGAGAATTCTAAAATTATCAATATAAGTGATGCCAATTACTACAATGGAAGCAAATTGCTACCATCCAACTAGTATATTTTCATATGTGCAGTACATTTAGTCCTTTACATTACTTTCTGACATGAGAAAATAGACATAAAATTACCACTTTGCAGCACAGAATGCCATTGTTAGTCTAAAACATTATACATATGGGTGTATAAGTGGGTTGTACACTAATTAATGGTAGCATTCTTGCTGTGAGTTGCTTATTTTCTTGAGATTTCTATATTTTGTAATGATGTAACGAGAATGGTTAACAGTACAGATGGATACTTAATGGTTATCTTCAAAACATTGCAATATTGTTAATATACTGTATATGCATATATGGGGCAGCAAAGTGGATAAATGGTTAGCACTTCTGCCTGGCAGTACTAGGGTCATTGGTTTTTGTCCCAACCACGGCACCACCTTCCTGGAGTTTGCATGTTCTCCCTGTGCCTGCATGGGTTTCCTCCCAGACTCCAAAGACGTGCTGGTAGGTTAATTGGCTCCTGTCTAAATTGGCCCTAGTATGAATGTGAGATAGAGACCTTAGACTGTGCACTCCTTGAGGGTCAGAGACTGATGTGAATGTACAATATGTATATATACATGTAAAGCGCTGTGTAAATTGACAGTACTATATAAGTACCTGTAATAAATAAATACACTATATAGAATAAATATATATTACTGTGCAAAAATTATAGGCAGTTGTGAAAAAAGTGCTGTAAATGAAGAATGCTTTCAGAAACAGAAGTGTTAACAGTTTATTTTTATCAGTTAACAAAATGGAAAGTAAATGAACAAAAGAGAAATCCAAATCAAATCCATATTTGGTGTGACTACCCTTTGGCTTCAAACCAGCATCAATTTTTTTTAATGACATTTGCTGTATGTTTGGGGTTGTACTGATTAAACCAATGTCATTAAGAAGGAATCTTCAGCGTAAAGAAGAACAAGGAGTCCTGTAAGTGATGGTTTGGCCCCCCACAGAGCCCTGATCTCAACATCATCAAGTCTGTCTGGGATTACGTGAAGAGACAGAAGGATTTGAGGCAGCTTACATCCACAGAAGGTCTGTGGTTAGTTCTCCAAGATGTTTGGAACAACCTACTGGCCGAGTTCCTTTAAAAACTGTGTGCACAAGCACTTTGTGTACCTATAATAGATGCTGGTTTGAAGTCAAAGGGTAGTCACCCCCCTGTTATATACAGAATTAAAACACAAATATGGCTGGTTGAACCCCACCTAATACTATTTCCTTAGCCTAGGTTCAGATATGTGCATGCGCTGTTGCCGCCTATCAGATGAAAGGTATCCAGACACCAGACCACTTCTCACACTCAATTACTGTGCCCCCCCCCCCAAACCCCCACCGTGTTTTGGTGGACGTGGCAGGTGTCCCCAAGTAAGAACATAGAGACCAGCAAACACCCGTTTGCTGGCTTTTTCTTCCCTTTACTGATCCAGAAGCATCTTGTAAAACTCCACCTCTGGGTCCTGCTGTCCATGCCATACTGGTTGGGAAAGAAGCTGATGGAATGCAATGTGCAATCCATCAGCTTCATTGGAGGACAGATGAGACATTAGAAGTCTTTTGCACCCCTGATGTCTCCTTAAAGAGATCCTGTCACCAAAAAAAGATTTCATTGGGACATTTTCTCTCCTATGTGATGAGAAAAAAGTTTACCAATTGCCCTCCTGAGGATTTACCTTCCCCTCCCCCCCTCGATCAGGCCATTTTTTGCATTACCACGCTGTGTTAATTTAACTGACAATTGCGCGGTCATGCAATGCTGCACCCAAATGAAATGTACGTCCTTTTTTCCCATGAATTGAGCTTTCTTTCTGTGGTATTTCATTGCCTGTGCGTTTTGAATTTTTTGCGCTATAAAAAAAAAAAAGACTGACAATTTTCAGAAAAAAACAATATTTTGGACTTTTTGCTATTAAACATGTTCAGTAAAAAAAAAATTAAAAAAATCAAATTTCGTCATAAATTTAGGCCAAAATGTATTCTGCTACATGTCTTTGCTAAAAAAAAATCCCAATACGTGTAAATTAATTGGTTTTCGAGAAAGTTATAGCGCTTACAAATGGCGGTATATATATACTGGAATTTTTTTTTAATTTTTACTAGTAATGGCGATTTATAGTGGGACTGTGGGTGGGCATTCTGACAGTGGGGGGAACTGACTTGGTGTCACTGACATCCCCAGTGACACCAACACAGTGATCAGTGCTAAAAAAAAAAAGAACTGACACTGTACTAATGGCACTGGGCAGGAAGGGGTTAACATGAGGGGCGATCAAAGGTTTAGTGTGCTGTGTGCTGTTTTACAAAGTGCTGTGTCTGTGTGCTTCACTGTAAGCACACTGCTTTGCATGGCTGTGCTGTGCACAGCTACGCAAAGCAGTGTGCACGAGCTGACAGGGAGGAGAACTGTTTTGTTTACAAACAGTTCTCCTCCGCATCGGAGATGCTCAGCAATCACCTGGCATCAGGAGAGTAATCACTGGCTGGGACCCGGTGATTGACAGCCAAGGCCGTGAATGGGGGACCGGGTAGGACGCCCACACCCCCTACCAGGATATGCAAAATCATGTATATTGTATATACACATGATTTTGCACACCCGTGCTGCCCTGTATCAGTATATCTGCTATAAGGTGGTTGGGAAGCCGTTAAAAAAAAAATCTAAAAGTTAATGTTACACTTGAGCACTTAAAATCCCCTAAAAAAAAAAAAGATAAGCACTCCCTCCACCCCGCCCTCACATGTACGCATGTACAAAACATAGATGCACACATTTGGGGTGCCTATATACAAAAAATGTTGATTGCTCTATACATTACATATTGCCACAAATGCCAGATTCTAAGCCTGCCTTTAGAACCACTTTAATTGCTATTGAAAATGTAGTTATTGTTTTACCATACACACCACACAGACGAACTGCTGTTTTTTTTCCATTTTCCGATTCAGTTATAAAAGCTTTTTTTTTTATTATTATTATTATATAACTTTTGTTTTACTTGCCTTATTGTTGTAGCTAGTCAAATGAATACAGATCTTGACTCTGCCACCTTCTTAAGGATGTTTACAGTAGTACGCAGTAAGACATTTTCCTCAAAATTCTAAGGTCAATAGAACTAGTTATATGTTAATAAAGCATTTCATGTATCTCAGCTAATGCATAATACATGCTTGAACCATGACATTGTTTTGATTAAGGAGTAAATCATTCAAAAGAGGCTGTCAAATGCCATAGGCCTACTCTTTCTGCCCTAGCTTAAAGCTAGATTTAGTCTGCTGCTGAAAGAGTCACCGCATCTCAAGTGTGAAACTGTGCAATTACTGCTGACTAGACCTTCAGTGTTTAAAGAAAACAATATACTAGAATAAATTAAAGGAAATCTATTTTTAAATCTATTTTTAAGAGAAGTGTATGGTATATGTTCAGTGAGTATATACTGTATGTATTATTGCATTAGTCACCTTAAAGTCAGTTTAATTGGTGTTCATATTTCTTACATGTTTTGTCTTCCATATTTTTTCTATCATAATAAAACAGAACTACACTGCATCTGAGCGCCACAAACCAAAAATGTAATTTATTTCTAATATTCAAAGCAAACTCGCCCATCTATCCATGTCTCCATGCTTTATTTTGCTAAGAAATCACTTTGAAAAAACATCCCCCTAGCATTTCTGACCATGGTCATCTTAAGTAAGGGCAAATAATTTATGTATCATTTACTTCCTGGAATCCATCTGCCATTAGCTCAGGCACACAGGCAGAAGGGTGTACTTAATATAATATGAGAAATAGAGAAAAAAAAGCGCCACAAACTAAATAGAATAAAAGCTGCAAAAAAGGTAAAAATGTGAATAAATCAAAGAGTGTGCTAAATATAAGTAAAAGCAAAAATTATTAGTTTCAAATAATGATGTCCGTGATAGAAAAAATAAAAGTCTATCCACCATAACAAAGTAATTAAACTGTTCTGAAATCTTGTAAAGGGTGTACTTAGCTGAGAAAACCCCTCCTTCCCTCCTGAAGACTCCTGGGATGTATGACATCATTTGATTAGACCTGAGCACTAGAAAGTGACTGAAGAATTGTAAAAAAAAGTTTAAAACAAGTAAATATGATTTCAACAGGAAATAATAATAGATCCAGTTGGTGAGTTCAGCCACCACATCCCTCTATATGAAAAACCCAGTTAAAAAAGGAACAAGAAAGAATTGGGATTTTAACAGTGCTGGTATCTTCTCTCAGTACAAAAACAGCCACTCTTTAAAACAACATCATCAACTTTTATTGTACAGTTAGAATTGATGGGGTAAAATACTCCCCTAAAAATAGTAACAAGACAAACAAAAAGAAAACAGAACCTCATATTTGTGATTAGTATCACAACCCCCAAAATGCACTTCCCCTCTTTAGTAGACTTATGATACCGTATGGTACTATACAGCAAATCAAACAGTATGTCGATCTGTAAGAGGGGGTGCCAGATCCAGACACGTTTTGCACTGTTGCTTCTTCAGGGGTTAAAGGGGTCAGGTTGTGAGTAACTGCTAAAGACACAGGAAAATACCATATAATATGATATACAACTTCTATCATTTACAAATATAGCAAACATAATAATGCATACAGTTGTGGCCAAAATTATTCAACCCCCACTGAAATTGAGTGTTTTGGCCAGTTTGACATTGCTTTTGATCATTCAGTCATCTTGCTTACATTTACATTAAAGAGGCACTTGTAGGTCAGACAAATATAACATAACAGTTATAATGAAATAACCACAAATGTCTTTTCTGTGCTCACAGCATTATCAGTTTTATTCAACCCCAAGTGACATTCAATCTTAGTACTTAGTACAGCATCCTTTTACAGTTATAACAGCTTTTAAACGTGAAGCATAGCTTGACACAAGTGTCTTGCAGCGATCTACGGGTATCTTCGCCCATTCTTCATGGGCAAAGGCCTCCAGTTCAGTCACATTCTTAGGCTTGCGCACTGCAACTGCTTTCTTTAAGTCCCACCAGAGGTTCTCAATCGGATTTAAGTCTGGTGACTGCGATGGCCACTCCAAAATGTTCCAGCCTTTCCTCTGCAACCATGCTCTAGTGGACTTGGAGGTATGCTTGGGATCATTGTCCTGTTGAAAGGTCCAACGTCTCCCAAGCCTCAGGTGTGTGACGGACTGCATCACGTTTCCATCCAATATCTCCTGGTACTGAAGAGAATTCATGGTACCTTGCACACGCTGAAGCTTCCCTGTACCTGCAGAAGCAAAACAGCCCCAAAGCATGATTGACCCTCCACCATGCTTCACAGTAGGCAAGGTGTTCTTTTCATCATAGGCCTTGTTCTTCCTCCTCCAAACATAGCGTTGATCCATGGGCCCAAACAGTTCTAATTTTGTTTCATCAGTCCACAGAACACTATCCCACAACTTTTGTGGTTTGTCCACATGGCTTTTGGCATACTGCAGTCGACTCTTCTTATTCTTTGGAGACAGCAAGGGGGTACGCCTGGGAGTTCTGGCACGGAGGCCTTCATTACGCAGTGTGCGTCTTATTGTCTGGGCTGAAACTTCTGTACCCACATCTGACAAATCTTTTCTCAGTTCCTCAGCAGTCACACGGGGACTTCTCTCCACTCTACGCTTCAGGTAGCGCACAGCAGTCGAAGTCAGCATCTTCTTTCTGCCACGACCAGGTAGCGTTTCAACAGTGCCCTTTGCCTTGAATTTGCGAATGATGCTTCCTAAGGTGTCTCTTGGTATGTTTAACATCTTTGCAATCTTCTTATAGCCATTGCCCTTCCTGTGAAGAGAAATCACCTCTTCTCTTGTCTTCCTGGACCATTCTCTTGCCTTCACCATGTTTGTAACCACACCAGTAAATGTCTAGAAGGAGCTGAGTATCACAGTCATTTTAAAGCTGCCTAATTGGTGCTTATTATGCTTGATTGCTGCTCGGTGACATCCACAGGTGTTTTCAATACCTGATGGAAAGCACCTGTATGAACCTCTGTTCTTCAGAGTGGTAGTCTTTAAGGGGTTGAATAATTGTGGCAATGAAGAAACCACATAAGAACCATTTACTACTGTATTACATAAACAATTGATGTCATTTTAGTTGCATTTGGGTAGTTACAACGTCCTTGTAGGATTTGATTCTGAATACAATTCCAAATGTACACTATAGTCCCTAAACCCCTTTACAGCATTGGGGGTTGAATAATTTTGGCCACAACTGTAGATATCAATACACTTACAAATTTGAAATGAGAAAAGGAAGATTAAATTCTATGTCAGCAGGCACAAAGGGGCATAAGGTGGTATCACAATGGAGAGGACATCTAGGAAGCAGCCCATAGCTCCATGGGGGAAAAAGAGAAAACAGTGCTCTCCAGTAGTTGGAGAGGCCTATAATTGCACGCAAAAGCAACATCAAAACACCATAAAACTGCTATTGGGCAATACATACTGTATGTTTCACATATATTATTATTATTATTATTATACAGGATTTATATAGCGCCAATGGTTTGCTCAGCGCTTTACATTATAGTGGGAGACAATACAGTAACAATACAGTTCAATACAAGAGGGGTTTGAGGGCCCTGCTCCTTGGAGCTTACAATCTAGGAGGTTGTCTCCCGCTCCCTTAACCTTCTAGCAATCACTGAAACCTGGCTCCAAGCAGCAGATTCAGCCTCCCCCGCAGCACTCTCCTATGGAGGCCTCATCTGGACCCACTCACCCAGACCCAGTGGTCGGAAAGGTGGTGGGGTTGGTTTGCTTCTGTCAACACTGAGCACCTTCCAAGTCCTCCCTAACCCTCCATCTCTATCCTTCTCTTCTTTCGAGACCACAGCAATAATGCTTAGATAAATACCTTTAATACTATCAGGCGGTCTGAGGATCCAAATATCAAAACAAAGTATTGTCACATCAGTGATAACACCTAAATGTAAAAAGTATGTGTAAGATAGGACCACCATCAAAATACTGCATGAGGGCATAACAAACACACTTGCACCCATAACACGCATTGGAGCCCATAGATGACAGTGAATAAAAAAAGGATAGATACCTTGTTGTCAGGGAATCACGCTTCAAAGCATTCCAAGAGTGTCTGCTCCAGGTATCTAATGTTGAGAAATATATAGCGGAGCACAGGAACCCTCCCGCCCCCTTAATGCCGCCAAAGGTGCTTTGCCTTTACTGGGCATACGAGGCTGATCAGTCATCTCTGCATCATTACTGAGCATGCGTGATGGCTTGGCCACGCATGCACAGTGACTCATCTACATGGGCTGCCCATTTCTGTCATCTGGACGCCATGGGTGGACTCATTGCTGTGGTATATGTGAAACATAAGTATTGCCTAATAGCAGTTTTATGGCATTTTGCTGTTCCTTTTGCAGGCAATTACAGGCCTCTCCAACTACTGGAGAGCACTGTTTTTTCCTTTTCCCCCTGTGCATGTCCTCTGGAGCTATGGGCAGGTTCCTAGATGTCCTCTCCGTTGTGATACCACTTTATGCCCCTTTGCGCCGACTGACATGTGTGAGAGTG